TATATAATTTTTTTTTTTCCCCACCCATTGAGAATCACTTTAAAGCACACACTTAAACAGGACTGTTTTATTACCTATATTACTTCTTTATTACCTGTATCACCATTTTCTCCAAAAATGTTGAGAAAGACATCAGCATCTGTCCCACTGCCTTTCACGTCAGCTGTGAACACGCTCACAACATATTTATTATCTGCAAAAAATAGCACAATAAAGCATACAACAAACATTTTACAAAAAAACATTTTAGGTTGTAATATAGAAGCAAGCATTTATTAAACATGCCAAACATGTTTAAACAAAAGCATGATCCAAGAAATCAGATGATAGAACTGTGCTTTTAGAATAATTTTGAAAAATTTGATTTTCCAATATATTTGCTAAAATATATTTATGTAAATATATACATTTTCTTTCAATAAATTCTTGGCCATTTTCTGAACACATATTTTAAAAATATTGCTATTTTGGTATATGAAGGTTGAAACTACATTTATTTTCCATTTCAAAAATATATTTCATTGAGCTTACAAAATATATTTAGCATATATTTATAATATACAAAATATAATTTTTGCATGTTTTAAAGGAAAATGATTGCATTTAGCCATTACTTGCAGTGTTTGATCAACAGGCTCATACAGAAACACAAACAGCTTCACTTACTGTACGACATTCTCATATATGTGACCCTGGAGCACAAAACCAGTCATAAGGGTCAATTTTTCAAAATTGAGATTTATGCATCATCTGAAAGCTGAATAAATAATCTTTCCATTGATGTATGGTTTGTTAGGATCAGACAATATTTGGTCAAGATACAACTATTTGAAAATCTGAGGGTGCAAAAAAATCTAAATATTGAGAAAATCAACTTTAAAGTTGTTAAAATTAAGTTATTAGCAATGCATATTACTAATCAAAAATTAAGTTTTGATGTATTTACGGTAGGAAATTTATTAAATATCTTTATGGAACATGAACTTTACTTAATATCCTAATGATTTTTGGCATAAAAGACAAATCAATAATTCTGACCCATACAATGTATTGTTGGCTATTGCTACAAATATACCCCAGCGACTTAAGACTGCTTTTGTGCTGCAGGGTCACATATCGATATGCATGGATTAAATTAGCACAGACTCTTTGGACTAGATGCCATCATGAAATTGACACTTAACTTGACTTGACTCAAGGAATCAGAGGAAAAAGGGCAGAGACAGAGACAATTTTTCTCCATAGTCCAGCACTCTTAAAGGTGATATAGGAGATAAAGCCTCACATTTGGGCATGTCCATGGGGTCCAGACTACCCAGCAGGTCTCGGACGAACAGGCTGTCCCCTTCGGTTCTGCTCAGCCAGTTGTTGCAGGCGAAGTAGAAGCGTAAATGCGGTCTGTTCATGTCGGTGACCACGACCCGGTCCAGAAACCAGCTGGCGTTCAGACCCGTGTTATCATGTTCAATCCTGACAAAAACACACAACACTACTAGTTTAAAGTTACAACTACTCATTCTTTAACTGTATTATTTCACACCCTCCAAAATAATTATAAAGCTGAACAATAATGCTGTACTTTTAGTTTTGAACAGAAATTCATACAGTAGCTACAATTTATATTTATCTACAAGACTGGAGGCTTTAAATCAAAAGGTTTTTAAGATCATGAGAAAATAAACAAACTTTGAATCTGTAGTCTGCATTTAATTATTGATTTTAGTCATATTAATATGTTTACAGTATATTATTAAATATTGCAAGTATAACTAATTAAATTAAACATGACATTTTGCAGCAGAAAAACTGAAATAGTATTTTATTGTAAAATATACTCCAATAATTTGTTTTATTTACTACTTTTCTTTTTTTTTTCATTGTAGTAAAATAATATATTTGACTAATATTTAGTAAACTGAACTTATAATTGAAAATAAATATATACATTTTACTAATAGAGTAATATATTAGTAAAATATATTATTTTACTAATATTTATTTATTTTCACATACTGTACATTATTGTTTCTCCTCTATGCCCCGCCTTTCTGAAACGCGTCGATTTTCTAATATTTATTTATTTTCAGTAATCAAAGTTAAATTGGTCAACTTACCTAATTTTTTTCAAAGGGCCGACATTGTGTGTTTTTATCCGGAAGACATCAGTTTTGTTTTTTTCAAAAGCAGTTCGATTTCTGCAATAAATATCAATGCAAACAGAACTCTACTTAATTTCCGCAAACACAGAATCATCTAACCTGATTCAAAAGTTGAAGACAAAATCAAACCCTCAATCCCTTTAAACAATCACAATAATCAGTCTGTATATTAATGTGAGGTGTAAATGCAATGCAATGGTGTCTCAATGACAGATCCATCATGATCTTTAAGCACAATGACTTACAGTACAAGCCTTGGAGAATAAATGCAAGTTATATGCACAATGGCTGTGTATTCCATCTCTTTTGCTTAAATGCACTCAGTGTACAATTACGGTTATTGTGTCTTGAGAAAGAAATTAAATTAAATACCCTTAGTAAACTTCAAAAGAGTCATGACACATTTCAGAAAATACATGATATCTAGCAGCCAATATATCATGCATTTGCTGACAAACACACATATTCTGTAAATGAGCTTTATGCAGATGATATAGTCTGAATGATGTGTGTCTGGAAACAGAATAGTAAAGCGCTGCAGTATTTTCTCTCTACAGCACAATGCTATACATTTCCACAGGATTCACACCAGTTCATCATAGGGATGTACAGCACATGCATATTGTAGCCTTTCATTATGAAGAGCAATAAACCTCGCTGAATCAGATTTTGCCATCATGCAAATGAAATATTGCTCCTTGATGAAAGGTTCTAGAATATCATGTGTGCATGTAAACGTCACAACAGCGGCGAGATCTGGATTCCCCTCAATCAGAGAGGAACAGACTCAAATACCTCTTGTCTGTGCTGTGGATTCGGGGAAAGACAGAATGATGGTGTTAAATATCAGTAGAAAAAACATTCATGCACAACTGTAAACAACGAGACGTGCAGCTACCAGGCCAAACAGGCAATTCATTTATTATTTACACAGATGATTATGAGTCAAGTTTCAGGTCAGCAGAGCTTCATACGGACTCACTTGCTGGCCAGATGCAGTTTGGGAGTGATGCCATATTCGCCGAAGAGTGTGATGAAGATGTTGGCGTCCGTTCCGGCTCCGTTGACATCTCCGGTGATGGTCACCACCTCATAGACTGAGAGAAAAACATGCTTGATTTGAAGGAACACAGAATACATGAGATCCGGTGCATTATTAATGAAGAGATTCCATAGCAGAAGAGCCTGAAACATCCTGCTGAACAATGACTAAGCTCAGGAAAAACTCATCATGACATGATACAGTCAAGATAATCGACACTGAAATCAGAAAACAGATCATTAAAGCATGATGTTCTCAGAACGTTCTGGCAAGGTTATGAGCAAACATTCTTCCAGTAGCATTAATAAAACATTTTTTTCAAAGTTATAATAACTATTTATACATAATGTGTGGAACATTTTTCTGAAACATTTTAGTTCGTCTAACATTTTTAAAATGTTACTACTTGTTTGAGAACATTCAAAAGTAACATTTCCATAATGTTTGCAAAATTATAAAATGGAATGTTCCAGTAACATTTGTATATAACAAAGAAAAAACGTTTTTTAAACATTTTGAACATTCAGCGAACATTAAAAAATAATGTTTTCATAACTTACTTATAACGTTAGCAAAACGTTCTTAGAACATTTTTCTGTTAACTGGGAATTTGAATCAGTCTAATGACTACAGTGTAAACAGTAGAGTCTGAATGACTCATGAATGAATGACTCTCTAACTGATTCCTTGTAATGAATCAGTCAAAAAGATTCTCAAAGACTCTCAAACTCACAATTTGAATCGGTCTAATGACTACAGTACAGTGTGAACAGTGGTGTCTGATTCATGAACAAATGACTCTCTAAACAATTCCTTGTATTGAATCAGTCAAAAAGACTCACAAACGGCCTAAAACTCACAATTTGAATCAGTCTAATAACTACAAGGTGAACAGTGGAGTCTGACTCATAAATGAACAAATCTGTAAATGATTTCTTTAAATGAATCAGTCAGTCAAAGAGACTCACAAACAGCCTCAAACTCACACTTTGAATCAGTCTAAAAACTACAGGGTGAACAGTGGAGTCTGACTCATAAATGAACAAATCCGTAAATGATTTCTTGTAATTAATCAGTCAGAAAGACTCACAAACAGCCTCAAACTCACAATTTGAATCAGTCTAATAACTACAGGGTGAACAGTGGAGTCTGACTCATAAATGAATGAATCTGTAAATGATTTCTTGTAATTAATCAGTCAAAAAACTCACAAACAGCCTCAAACTCAAAATTTGAATCAGTCTAATAACTACAGGGTGAACAGTGGAGTCTGACTCATAAATGAATGAATCTGTAAATGATTTCTTGTAATGAATCAGTCAAAAAGACTCACAAACAGCCTTAAACTCACAATTTGAATCAGTCTAATAACTACAGGGTGAACAGTGGAGTCTGACTCATAAATGAATGAATCTGTAAATGATTTCCTCAAATGAATCAGTCAGTCAAAAAGACTCACAAACAGCCTCAAGCTCACACTTTGAATCAGTCTAATAACTACACGGTGAACAGTGGAGTCTGATTCATAAATGAACAAATCTGTAAATGATTTCTTGTAATGAATCAGTCAGAAAGACTCACAAACATCCTTAAACTCACAATTTGAATCAGTCTAATAACTACAGGGTGAACAGTGGAGTCTGACTCATAAATGAATGAATCTGTAAATGATTTCTTGTAACGAATCAGTCAAAAAGACTCACAGACAGCCTCAAACTCACAATTTGAATCAGTCTAATAACTACAGGGTGAACAGTGGAGTCTGACTCATAAATGAATGAATCTGTAAATGATTTCTTGTAATGAATCACTCAAAAAGACTCACAAACAGCCTCAAACTCACAATTTGAATCAGTCTAATAACTACAGGGTGAACAGTGGAGTCTGACTCATAAATGAACAAATCTGTAAATTATTTATTGTAATGAATCAGTCAAAAAGACTCACAAACAGCCTCAAACTCACACTTTGAATCAGTCTAATAACTACAGGGTGAACAGTGGAGTCTGACTCATAAATGAACGAATCTGTAATGATTTCTTGTAATGAATCAGTAAAAAAAGACTCACAAACAGTTTCAAACTCACAATTTGAATTGTTCTTATAACTACACACTCTTAAAAATAAAGGTCGCAAAAGGGTGTTTTCCAACGCTATCTCACGACCAATTCGTACATATTTTACGAGGTGGCTAATTCGTAGGAATTCGTACGACCTCACTCGTATGATTTTGTACGATTTGTCTAGACCCCAGTGACGGGTAGGTTTAGGGGCAGGGTTAGGTGTAGGTCATTCGTACAAATTCATACGAATTGTGCAACTCGTAAAATACATACTATTTAGCAAAAATCCTATGAATTTTTACAAGTGAGGTGATACGAATTTGTATGAATTAGCCACCTCGTAAAATATGTACGAATTGCCGTGAGATAGGGCTCTAATTTCACAGTGATTCCTTGGAAGAACCATTTTTGGATCCCCAAAGAACCTTTAAGTGATCAGTTCTTAAAATAAACATTTTTTCTTAGTATGAAGAACATTTGATCATCTAAATAACTTTTTTTTTTTCACTATAAAGAACCTTTAGTGGTTTCATGTATGTTAAAGGTTCTTCATGAAACCATCAATGCCAAAAAAGAAGCTTTATTTTTAAGAGTGTTTAATAATGTTTGAGTTGCTCTACCTTTTTTCTTGTGGTACTCATCTTCATAGTTCTCCACTTTCTCAGGCTCGTAGTTTCTCAGCTCGTTCTCATAAATCTCCACATAATCAACGTTTTTGGATTTCTTCTTCTTGCCCTTTCCCTTCTTGCCCTCGTCATCGCTATCATCGGCTCCTTTCTTGGACTTCTTCTTCTTCTTCTTCTGGGAGTCGTCATCCTCCTCCTCTGATTCTTCTTTCTCGGCTTTCTTCTTCTTCTTCCCCTCATCCTTGGACTTCTTGTCTTTGGATCCCATGATGCTCTCCGCAGGGTTTTGATTCTTCTTTGTGCTCTTTTTGCTCACTTGAATGACATCTGGAAGGTTCTGGTGTTCATCTTCACTACTCTTCACCTCCTCATCCTCCTGCCTTGAGGTCTTCTTCTTCTTCTTCTTCTTCTTCTTTTTCACCTCGGATGCATCGCTGAGCGATTCTGTGTCCTCAGCGTGTTTGTATTTCTTCTTTGTGGCACAATCTGGAGTGCTGATCTTACCTTTCCTTCTCGACTTTGATTTCTTCTCCTCTCCGTCATCGTCCTCCTCTTCGGTTTCCTGTGACTGCCGTGTTTTTTTCTCCTTCGAGGGCATCTTTAATTTATTTACTACAGTGTAACTTTAACTGTTGACTGTGAGTGACCAGGTGAAAGATGACGAGGCTGACCTGTGATGCTGGCCGGACCTGCCAGGAAGAGCTGGGCCACGGGTGAAGTGCAGGAGCCGCAGGGCTTCCCTTCCTGATGACAGCCGCCCCATTAAACATGACACACTCCACCATCATGTGACTGACAGCAGAGTAAACAAGAGCTGCCAGTCACACACAGACACACACACTCACTGCTGGTCACACACACACACACACACGCACACAGACACACACACACTCACACACTCTCACACACACACACACACACACACACACTCACACACTCTCACACACA